GACACAGATCTGAATATGGAATCTCTTGTAAACGCTTTTTTCAATGAGAATTATTTTATATGTTTTTATTGGTTTTTTAATGTCATAGCTATACTACGTGTATTTTCTAGTCGTACGTGCCAATAACAGCTGTCAATAGCAAGTTACTTCAGAGACTGAAAAAGGATTAGGCCAGGCATATATAGGCGGCATCTCGTCGAAGAAACTGATTGATCAATTTATTAAGTACGAATCACTTTTTTTGCTTTCCTTTGAAAACCAGCGGCCATTTGACAGGTATTATTGGCTGGTAGCTTCTTTCAACGAGTAGAGCAAAATCCACGGATATCCGGATATATCGTTGCTACAGAAAAAACGTTAAGATCAGATGTATAAAGTCACAGGAAAAATGTTGCATCATTTTTCATGATGGAACGTTTTTCCTGTGCGTTTTTTGCAGTTTTTCCGTTACTTTTTTTTATAGTGCAAGTATTTTAGGCCCAGGGTAAAAAAAGTAATAAAATAAAGTAAAGGAACATTTTATCATTCATCGACCAATGATAAAAATGTTCTTTACTTTATTTTGTTACTTATTTTACTCTGGGCCGTCTTTCCTTCCGAGAGAGAGCGAGCAAGTACCAGTTTTAAAGCCTGACGGTTCGCCTTTTCGAACCCTGAAAATAATCACTGCTTGTTAACATCATCCGATCCAACCAATAATTTCCCTGCTTCTCGTCTGAATGACTTCAAATAATGAGTTCATTGATTAATATTATTATTACAACACAAAAAATTATTTAATTTAGACAGACAAACGTAATGAAAATACAAAAAAACGTAAAAATACGCTAGCGTAATTAATGAACAATTTTTTTGACACGAACGACTAGAAAATACACGTAGTATAGCTATGACATTAAAAAACCAATAAAAACATATAAAATAATTCTCATTGAAAAAAGCGTTTACAAGAGATTCCATATTCAGATCTGTGTCAAATATCATCAAACAACACATTTACAACACCACTGTTTCATTTTTCGAACAAAAAACATAGGAAAAAACGATGCGTATTGAGCTTATCATATATTGTCGATAATTCAAGAAATACTAGTTTTTCTTAGTTGTTGTAACTTTACTTGCTTTATCCTCACTCAATTCATCACCGCTCGATTCGGATGGTAGTAGATCGTTTGACTTTTTGCGTAATTCAACTGTTTCACGAAATTGTAGAACACTTTTGATAGGTATCGGTTTACCATCGGGACCGATTGTTGCCGGTTGTATTATCCCAATACTGTTGGAAGCAAAATACAAAATATTGCTGATTAAGACATATTTGGAGAATTTAGAACTTACTCCATAGCACGCTGCATGTTGTCAACTAATTTCATTATTTCTCTTTCTTTATGTTCTTCTGACCAATCGTCCATGGGCCCAGCTTCCTTAGGAGGATCTATGCTACCAGTTATACGATTAATTCTAAACAAATCAAATGCATAATTATTACTGCATTGAACTCAAAAGTAAGCAAATAATAAGCTGCTGTTTCTACCAGCCATTTGTATTAAGTGAATGTTACACAAACAACTTACCGGTCTATAGAACGTTTATAAATGTCTGTATCTGAATCTTCTGATTCACTGGAATATTGATCTTTATTTGTATTATGTGGTGGTCCCAATAAACCAAAATCATAGAGGAGGCCAGCTGCATTACCAATGCCTGTATATTTGATTAAACGATCGACTAAAATATTAAGATTTAAATTTATCTCTTCGTTCTTTTCTCTCTCTTTACTATCTCTACATACCATTTTCTTTGCACAGAACAAATAATAATTTTGCTGAAAATGTTTTTAGTTCTGAATTTGGGCTTGTCATCATTCGCGTTAATCTAAAAACAAGATAATAATATATGTCAGTCAAGTGTTGTTTAGCATAATACAATGACATACTTATTTCGTAATTTTTGTCCCTCTGTTGGCAAATTCATTATTTCTTCACCTAACGGTGGTAATATGTGTCGACGACAAAACTTTCGTATATTTCTATTTGATTGACACATAATAATTAATAATTGTAATACAGGTAGTAATGCGTCTTTAGAAGCTTTCATTTCCTGTAGCAAATACAAAGATTTTAGACATGTCTGTTGTCTATCATCATTATCATCATCATTTACCTCTTGTTTTATTATCCGATAATCAAGAAATTGTAAGATGATATTAATGGCTTCCATATTTTTACCTTCATATTCATAATCGGAATCTTCGCTTTCATCATCATTTACAGGCGTTAATAATTCTTCAAAACATGTCTTTGGCATATTTGTTAACAAATTAATTATATGACTAAAATAAATCAAAGTTTCCATATTTTTTATTTCTTCAGTGTTCAAAAAATTTACTTTTGTAATTCAAATTGTTTGTCACTATTTTGAGCAAAACACAGTAATAATTCACGTAGAATGCTCACTAAACGTTGTAAATGTGCTTCCTCTTCTTCCTAAATATTAAACACTCAACATTATTTGAATAAAGTTTGAAACAAGATTGAACCATTACATACTTCTTGCAATGCATACGAATGTGTAATATTAGGCAGATCAACAGTTAAATTAAATAATGTTTTCAATATTTCAATTAGATAATCGACATCTTCATTTGATAAAACTATATCTAGACATAAAGTAGACAAGTATGTAAGTATATTTTCAAATGTACATTCGAGATGTGCTGCGATGGCCGAGTGGTTAAGGCGTTGGACTAGAAATCCAATGGGATCTTCCCGCGCAGGTTCGAATCCTGCTTGCAGCGTATTTTTTTTTCTATTTTTCAACTAATCAACAAATATACAAAAGTATTCATACAAATCAAACGTACTATTTTCTATTTCTTAATGAGCAAATACAACGGATAATTATTCAATCCTAACAGTTTTGGGAATGACTAATTGAGAACGTTTTCTAAAATATAGTGTGAACGGAACTGAAACTTCAGAATGTTTAATGAGTACTTTCATGTTAGTCAAACGATCGACAGAAGGATACTAGAGAGAAAGATCAATCATTTATTCTGAGGTTAATGCATAATTTTCCGTAAGTCTAGCGTTTATTTTTCGTTTTTATCAACTTACTTGAATCGGCTGCTGCAAGCGTTTCTCTATTATGCATTATCTGATTAATTATTTCAAATAAATAGGATAATCCATGAAATTTTTCACGTATACGTTGTCTAAAAGAAAAAAAACAGGAACAATTATTGAAGTACACTATATTTTTCCACCATATTAACCTACCTAATATCAGGATTTAATGCTGTTAATAAAAATAATATTCTCATATCATAAAATCGAATGTCACTATGTAATTTGGTCGTCGTTTCTTTGATTCTTTGAGTAATTGCATCAGCCACTCCGCTAACACTATAGAATTTTTGAACACCCGGACTCATATAAATTAAATTTGACATACATTTTTCAGCTTCAATAACATCTTAAATATAAAGAAATCAAATATAGATAAAACATTGATCACAAAGCATTGCAACTCACTCTGAACATCAATCGGACAAACGTCAACTTTACTACATTCTAGTCCAGCAAGCCTTTGTAACGGTTCTAATACGGATGATCCAGTAATTGCCTGAGAAAAATAGAAAAAAAAAACAAATAGGATATTTTGTTTTTGACAAAGAAGAAAATATTCAAATAAACACTTACATCAAGTCCTTCCCGTTCACGTGTGAGTAATCGTAATGATTTCAAACAAATATTAATTGAGTTTGTTTCAAAATTACCTGGACGTAAACGTGTAAATATTTCAGTCACTAGTTTTTGCCTTTTATCTAAATCTAAGTCAGGAAATGTAAAACTATTTGAGTTCTAAAAAAGCAAAATTGACGCGTTAATAATACAAGGAATAAAAGATGATGATTATTTCTTACTTTTTCATAAAATTTCCTAACAAAATCAAGGAATTCCAATTCTGATATTGTTGTTAGTTTATTGAAATCGTCATCCATGTCGTATACAGTTTTAATTCTAAGAAAAGAAAAATTTGACAAGCCCTAAAAAATAGCAATGATATTATGTGAAAATTTTAAAACGCCTTTGATTCGAGATTCCTCCTGAGAATTAATACTTATTAGATATGAGAAGACAGGTTTATTTAAAAAACCTGAAGATACGGACAAAACGGGGCATGACTAATGTTTTATCTCGTTAAAGCAGAAAAAGAATTACAATATATTTGTAGTAATGAACATAAACAAACTGATAGAGGCAGGATTGAACAAATATTCGTCAAGCAGCTTTGAGCGATGTATCCAGGATTCCAGTAAGGGGTGGGTCAAACCCTGGGGGATCAAAAACAACCTTTTTTTTGGCTAAAGAAAAAAGTTCCTGTGTAGTATTTTTATTTTCAATTTCAATCAAAATATTTTTTCTACTTTTAAATGAAGGAAACGAAATTTCTAAGAGATGGTCCACCCTTGGCCTAGTGGTGGATACGTCGCTGGCAGCTTTTTAAAGAGTAACTTTTATCTTGCAATTCGGCTCTCGAATCGGAGGTATATTTTAGCAACTCTTCGAATGGAGGCAAAGGTGTGCATGATGCAAAAAGAAAATTGATCGACAGTTCTTCGAGGCAATAATAAACACAATAAAGAGAAAATAAAACAATAAATTCAATGCGACAGTTTGTTATACCAAAAAAAGAAAAATATAACGATAAGAAGTGAATTCTCACCGCTCTATAGGCTTTTCATTCAGTCTATGTGATTAGATAACAATTTTAGTTAGTTTACTCCTGTCAATTATTATTTTTTATTATTTTATTACATGTTGACAAGTCGGTAGACAAAAGATATGTCTATATCACTGGAATAGATATAGAAGCTCAGATTATGGCTGATGCCCACTTTCTATCATCAGTATTCTTTTGTATTTATTTCCCTGTTCCTTTACATTATCCATGTTATCATCTACTACACTTAATAAAACTCTGCTTCAATAATCTACACACCCTTAATGAGCCTTCGCTAAAAAGTTCAACAAATTAAACAGATGTGGTGTCTAAAGATGATAAGACTCTGTGAGCCAAAAAACATTTCTCATATCGGCATGTACCGATTACGCTTGTTAATTTTGTGGGTTAATGTTCAGAAAGTCTGTGATACCTGACAGATATAGTCTTGATTTTATTCGTAAACAATACTAATCATTTTATAATTTAGATTTTACAGGCGAAAGTATACTCTTGATCTGCTTTTGCTTGCTGCATTAAAACTGTGCGTGACCTTCATTTAACTTGCATTCATCCTTTCTTTTGTGATGTTTTTCACTCAAGCTTTCACCCTTTTTGAAGTCGAACTTCGAAAGTGTCTTCCTTGTAGCTGGTAATAGCAACTCTCATCTACCGTTAAGAATCGTCAATCTGTCAATTAAACATCAAACGTCAATGTGAAGGCCAAGGTAAGCTACCATACGAATTTCTCGTACCGAGAAAAATGGCCAACTTGAAATCCATGAACTTCTGACTCCAGTAATCCATTTTGACTAATTCTTATGAAAGCACAAAAAAAATCAGTATGTAGAAAAGAAAGTTGAAGTATCGTCATTTTGGATTAGTTTTTTTCTTACATTTTTTTTTCAAAAAACGAAAATCTGCAAAGAAAATGATTAGATAGATGTCACTCCTAGTCGTTTTGCAAATATCGACGATGATTCTTTTACACACATGAGATGGCGTTATTACACCATGATTCTTTTGCAGTGGTAGTGATAAAATATTTTCAGTTGCAATAAGTAATATGGAATTGAATAATACGTGTATGAGTTATCTCGAATATGACTGAGCTGCTTGGTGTTCGTGTGTTTTTACACCGCATATTGTGTTACTTGTCGCTCTGAGCTATTTTTGATGGTTAAGTATAACGGTCAAGTTAGAGAGAGGTGAATGGAAGAAAAAAAAATGTACACTATATATGTAGAGTAATAAAATTGAATCCAATTTCTTTGCATGTAATTGTTCATGAAATGAAAATGAATTCAACTGCAAAGCGTGATTATGATAAATTAATGAGCCACTGTTTTTCTCAGCTTATGTTCAGAATTCACAATACAAACTTTATGCAATTTGCTTACTTGGTTAAATAGTTATTTCCTTCATACAATAAATGTCGATTTTATACTCTACGTTTTTCCAATAATATAGTGGTTATATTTGTAAAACAACTGACTTATTAGTGTCTTCCGAGTTGAGCCAGATAAAAGAAGTTTCGCCACCGTCGATAAATACTAAAAATTTTATTTATTTTTCCAGTTTTCCAGTTATTAGCAAACACAAATAATACAACTTCTTTTTGAAAGTATTTATTTTTTCTAAATTTTTATAGATGAATGTTTTGTTTATATGATTTTAATTTATGTTTTTTATGTGGAATCTCACGTAATTTAAATGACGAGAAATTTAGCCAAGCAAGATGAAAATGATCAATATCAATTGATCATAAGGTAATAGGAATGTTTATTATCATGTCATTGTTTTGTATATAAAACGGTATAGAAACCAATCAATAAACATGTATCACACAGAATAGCAGTCATAAACCCAATAATAATTTCATTTGAATACATTTGTAACTTTTTCAATGATTCTTTTCGTTGCTCTATCGCTAAACTTTTAGTTAATGTGTAAAATCCAATCGGCAAAAATAAAAGTAATGTTACTATAGCTATTGTTCGATGATCAGATATCTAAGAAAACAAAAATCCAAAGAACAATTAGTTTATATCGATCGCGTATTTTCGATTGAGAGAAGTGCCTCTGATTTATACTAATTAGAAAAAGTAAATTCGGTGTTCTGAGTATTAATACTGTCTTCTATCTGTTCGCATCAAAAGATACATTGTCAGCAGCGAACTGGAAGATTGAATCCTATTATTTACTTTTATTTCTTCCTGTTGTTGATCCACAGTACTTTGAAATCCGTCTTTTTCTTGGTTTGTCGGCTTGATAATTGTTTCTTGTTTTTTTGCCAGTATAAAGTCGCTCTGCTTGTCTCTAATGAAAGGGAGAATATTTTCCAATTTCTCAGGAACTTTTCTGAAATACGAAGGTTCAATTGTAATAACGGACTGTGGTTGTTTATATTCACAGTTTTCGATGTATGTATCAATGTTATTATTTGATGATAAATAAGTAATAGACACAGCAGATGTTGACGAAGAAAGAGCACTTAGAACTGACATTCCGACTGTTACGTCATTTTCTGTTGCACTTTTTTGTTCTTTATGAGTAATGATAGTATTTAAATAGGAAAACAATTGATCGCCACTTTCACTATTTAGTGTAAACGCATTTGTGAGAACATGGGTGAGATCGATTTCAATACTTTCAGGATTTTTACCACCTTCATGATGTGTGAATGAATCTACAGAACTAGTTTTTATGTTAGATACGATCTAAAACAAAACTGAATCATTATGTAGGAGAAAATTGACGCATTGATAACCTGAAGTCTGCAGTTTTATTTTCGATATTCTAATGGATCATTCTAGTGGTCTCTCCACGTACTTCCTTTTGTTGTGCATGATTGTTATCACTTATTTTCTGTATAATCAATTTTTCCATTACATGTGAACAAAAGTTTTCTTTAGGCTACGTTTTTGTTGACGATTTTAACAAAGAAATAAAACTATTTCATAAATTATAGAAGAAAAGAATTAAGTTACAAACACATAGCAATAACGACTTGAAAGAAAAGAGATGTATGGAGAAAATTTCGCTCGAAAAAAACAATTTAACATTTGCGCTAACATTTACATTGCATAGACAAATACAAATTAAACATAAACTAAAATTTCATGCGCCATCTGTTAGAATATTGATATTGTAGTCAATATGGTATTTGTTCGAAACCGGTTTGTAATAAGAGAACGGAGCCAATCTATTTTTATGCGATCGTTCCATTTTCATTTATTTTAACTTTCAAGAGATAAGTCATTCATTTACAATATCAGATGCACTCTAGTTTACTTTAGTTCCTAATTATGAGAACCATTTGTTTATCTACTCTGTTTTGAATCCGGCTGTTACATGCTGCCAGTCGATCATTCTTAACTTCTATCACATGGAAATCCCTAATGAATAACCTTGGCAACTGTATTAGAAGGTTTAGACGTAAAGCCAGTTTGGTCTTACTCACCAGTCATTTCTTCTAAAAATATTCTTTTCTGATTTTAGGTTTCGTTAAACTCTAGAAATTATTATTCGTTACGCATTATTTTGAATGAAAGAAAATATGCAAAGACGACGTGGTATTGGTAACATACGTGGTGCACGACAAAGCGTACGAAAGTATGTTTTTGTGTTCAGTCGATGAACAAAAGATCATACTGCCGTTATTTTTATTTTTTAGTATGCCCTTAGCCGTTAGCCAATGTTTTGGATGTGCACAAAGTATCTATGATCCATTGATATCAAATGTACTCGATCGTTTTTGGCATCCCGACTGCGTTAAATGTTATTCCTGTCGTACAATTTTGTCTGATAAATGTTATTCACGTGATGGAAAATTATTTTGTAAAGATGACTTTTATAGGTAAAATTTTGATAATATCGCCTGTAATATATACACCTGTCATATTGTCTATGTGTTTTCAGGCATTTTGGACATTATTGCGCATCATGTCACACTATTATACAATCAGACGATTATATTCGACGTTCTAAAGGAAGTGTTTATCATGCTAATTGTTTCTCTTGTACAAAATGTAAACGTCTAATACATGACAACGAAGATATTTTTATTGATAAAATTGAACAAACTACCGAACGTCAACAACAACATGATGTTTACTTATGTCATGACTGCCATGCAACACTTACGCCAAAAATTCTACCACCTCCTCCACCTTCTTCTGTTGATGAAGGTAAGTTTAGGTCACGATAATCAGATTAATACTGTTCTATTTTTTTTATTTATTGTTTAGAAGAAACATCCGATAGTCAAATGTCAAACTCGACTACAAGTAAAACACCCATTGAACAACAACCGCAGCAACAATCCTCTTCGTCATCTGATATAGTTTCTAAATCGGATGAAAGGGATGTTCCATCGCAGCCTGTCGCTATATCTTTACAACAACTTTCACTTACAATAACAAATTCACCTCCGCGTCCACTCTCTCTAACAACATCTGTCTCACTTATATCGCCAAAACAGTCGCAAAAATCACCAGTTTTACTGACGAACAGCAAAACTACTGCTGCTGAGAATGAAGAACAAGCGATAAATGTTCTATCATCACCAAAATCGAAGAATAAATCACCTACGTCCAATCATCAGATATCACCAATTCGAAATAATAAGTCACCAATAAAAGCACATTCATCATCTTCATCATCCTCAAACGAAACTCCAAAAACAATAACACGAAATCATAAACAACAAAATAATAGCAGTACTAAAGCTTCGCTATCTAAGTCAGTCAAGTCATCTCGAACAAAGCAGAATCCACTGTCAAATAATACGACTGAAAATAATAAAAAGAAACCTTTAACCTTGTCATCACCGGCGACACGTTCGAAAGCAGCCGCGTTAGCAGCTGCTTCTACAACGAAAGTCGGTTCTCGTAAAAATAAAAAACAACGTCCAATAACTCGTAAACGACATAGACCTCTTTCGGATAGTGAAACTGAAGAAGAAGAAGAATACGATGAGCAAGAGGATGAATATGACATGGAGGAAGATAACCAGCTTAATCATCATGAAACCAATGGCAAAATGAATGATAAACAACAGCAAAAACAGTCGGAATCAAACGATATTGATAAAAATATTACAACAACAAATACGTATGCAAATACAAATGATGATAGTAATAATAGCAGTCGATCGTCTTCATTTAAACTTCCGAACGAAAGGAAGTCGGATGATGAAGAAGAAAAGGAATTAAAAATAGCCACACCAGAAACGTCTATCCCTCCCACTGAAACATCAACGACAACAACAGTGACAACAAGTGGTAGTGTGGTTGTTTCAGACGCAATTACTAGTTTAACGACAACATTTAACGCTAGTCCAATGTCAATATCATCAATAATGAAGCAACCTTTACCTCAACAAATCGATTCCACTGTTATGCCATCATATTTAACAAACCATTTTCCTTCACCACAACCATCGATGTTCGTTGGACATCCAATGTCACATTATCCTAATCTTCCCGCGCAGCATCCGCCTTATGGACCCTCCTTTCCTCACATGATGCAGCAGAGACCTCCACAAATGCTTCCACAACAGCCACCCGCAACCTCGGTCTTACAACACCAACTATCTTCCTCACCAATATCTCAACAATCTCATTCAACAAACGCATCAGAAACAGATTCATTAGATAGATCATTGAGCCCATCACAAATGGATATTTCGACGAACGCCGAAGCTTCCTCAACTCCTATTCGACAAATGGGCTCACCAAAGTTCAATCGTCAGGTATATACATTCTCGTAAAAATTTGATCTTCTAGGCATTCTAAATTGCTTGACAAATAGTTTTGGAAATAACATTTTATATTCTTATTTTACCTCATTATGATGAGTTTTTCTGATTCAGAACTTAATACAACTCTTGAGCAGTATGTTATGCTAAAAAGTGTGAGTTTGAAGCGTACGTATGAAAAAAACAGTTTAATAGGTAAGAAGAAATAGGATCTAACGAAATTTTGCTGTCAGCAGGGAACGTGCTAACTGGTCAATAATACATAGTTTAGTACAGAGATCGGTCTAGCAAATGCAGTTCGTGTATAAATATGAAATCATTTCATAGGTAAAACTTCTAAGTTACCGAATTTCTCAATATGAAAATGTCTAATACTTGGAAATGAATTGACGAATTAGGATACCCATCTTTTTTAGCATAACAATAATAAATCTGTAGCTCCTACACCTACATCAAATCCTCGACCAAGTGCATTAACTTCATTACTCGAATATGGCCATTATCCTGCTGCAACATCTGATAATCTTTCCAGTCAAATGAGGCAGAGTCCATTTCCGTTTCCATTTCAAATGCAGGGTGCCGCAGCACCTTATCAAACTCCACCACCCGTGCCATTTTACCGACCATCAATGGCGGGTCCAGCGCCAGACGTTAGTGGTCAGATATTTCCATCTCAACCACCACCACCGCCGCCGCCGCCAGCACCCACTAGTCCCAATAAAAAATCAACAAAAAAGCAGATGCCGCAGCAGCAACAACCACAAATGCTCTCGAATGCGGATGTTTCACAAAACATTGTCACTAGCCAACCGAAAAAGAAAGGACGAAAACTTGGCTCAAAAAATAAAATATCCAAAGCAGAAAAAACGAAAGCAAAATTAGCCGAAAATGACGAAAAAAATTTACCAGAGAATAAAAACAAAGCAAGAGAACATCATTCTTCACCACAAACAAATGAATTGCAAAAACGCCATTTTAATGAAGTAGAGGACGATGATAATGATGAAGAAGATTTACCACCATCTTCAACAGGAATGTTGCCAACGCCAGTAAGTCAATATTCACAGTTACCCGAACATCTATCTCTACAAACATCACAACAATCTGCAAATCATCAGAATTTATTGACAAAAATGGGTCTCTTAAATCACCAAAGTATGCCACCTCCACCACCTCCATCAAATGGAAATAATTTAATGATGAATCCCTTAATGACTCCCAATGGTATGATGATGGCACCACATCACTATTTACCATCCGCTTACCAAGCTGCATTCAATCCTGCCTTTGCTGCAGCTGCATATGCTAGCGGATATAATCCGTATCCACCCTTCCATCCTGCGTAAGTTATCGAAAGACCTTTTATTTTAATGATCTTTTGCAATGTTATTTTCGTCTAGACTACTTCACATTTTTTTTGAATGTTTAGCTTCGGACATCCTGGTCAACCGCCACCGTCACAACACATGAATTTTCTGCCACAGAATAATGGCATGTCTACTCCACCGACAACAGCAGGTACAAATTTAACTGAAAAACCTGTAAATGACCATCACCAAACCAAAGTGCCAAAATCAAAAGGAGCTAAACATCAACAATCAAAACAGCAACAATTACCACCACTTCAGTCTAACACGAATAACATGAATCCAAATTATATACCATCTTCAGAAAATATAAAAATAAACAAAAACTCAAATCCAACGACGACGACCGATTCTAGTGAAGAAGATGGTGACGATGATATGGACGGAAAAATATGTAATGGAAAAAAACTTCGGCAAGCGAGTGGAACGGGTGCAGTAGGCATTGGGACTGATTCAGACGGTTCTGGAACTGAAATGGATATGAATTTAAGTCAAAGTAGTGCAGGAAACTCATTCGCAAATGACAATAATGCAAAAAAAGGTGGAAGGACAACGATAAAAGCGCCACAACTAGAGGTAAACTAACATTACTATTATTAAATAAAAAGAAATGTAAAATCAAATTGTTTTCCTTTATTTAGATATTATGTCGATCATTTGAAGTTTGTCCGAAGCCTACTAAACAACAACGTGAACAATTGGCTGCCGAAACTGGATTAAATATGAGAGTAATACAAGTATGTTTATAATCAAAAATAAGCTAATTTTGTACTAGAAAAAAAAAGTTTTTATTATAGGTCTGGTTTCAAAATAAACGCTCGAAAGAACGAAAAAATAATCCAAAAAATGCGGATGATAGTCCGTCATCACCTCCACAACTAACGACAAATACTGATCGAAGTTCGTCCAATTTTTAAATATATAACCTTGTCTTCCATCGTCGCAATCATAATTCAAATCAAAAAAATTCTCTTTTTTTTTACTACAGATCTCATTTTTTTAAATTTTTTTTGCCTCTTGATTATACTGATAGTATTTTGTTTTGCCAATGCATCTATATTTCAATAATTTAATCAAAATTCTTTTCTTTTTTCATATCTTTTCTCGTCAGTGTGCAGTTATCTGGTGTTTTTTATTTCTCTCATTCTAAATAATGTGCCTCTGATATTCAATATCGTAGTTTGTTTATAGCTTGTCTTCGCATCTATGTATTATACACATAAATGCAGGTGTTTTTTTCTTCTCCTCTCTCTTTCTCTCCTTTTATACAAGTAAACTGATATTTTATAAAATTTTCTGTCAATGTACCTCTAGTACTTTTGTACAAAAAGCAGCAATTGATAATAATCTGACACATTTTTCTTTTTGTATGCCAAGATCTGCATGTGTTCGTAGTCTTCATCTTATTTTTTCAGATCTTACCCGTTGACCGTTTTTTTTTTTTCTTTTGTTGACATTCAAAAAGCGTTCAGACCGATGCTTCTATGTTTAATCAAACTCTTTTTTATTATTGTCACTAAATGAATACAATAATAAGCATACAATCTATATATATTTTTTTGTTCTTTGTTCGTTCACGAATTTAAATCAAAATTGCATTTGTTTTCCCAAATAGTTTAGTAGAAACAATCAATCTTTAATTAGACCGACTACTATCATTTTTATTTTCTTCTTTCTAAATGTAATCAATTTATTTATTTGTTTATTTCGTTATCAAGACGAAATAATGAATTTTGTTTTGTGTACATCATTTGCGATGCAATTATTTAGTCATGTATTGATCTGATATCTTTTTCTTTTGTTGTACTTGTAAAATTTAAAAAAGCGTTTTTGTTTTGTTTCTTGTAACATGGCAACTAGACGTATATATATTTAAAGAAAAGATGGACTCTTTTTTTGACATGTATATGCTACTTTTCATTTGTTTTTGATTCATCTATTATAAATAAATGCGTATATATTATGGACAAAAGAGCGTTACTTTACTACAGTTTGATATACAACTTAACCCACCTTGTGCCTATCCCAATGCTTTATTCGATGATTATTTTCTCTCTTTCTGTAAATGGTCTAATCGATTTCATGAAAAGGATAGAGGTTTGACTTAAAACTTATTTTCGAAACTATTATGTCAAAAAACGGTCCTCCAATCAGTCTGGAGTGTTTCTGAGGCAAGGGGGAAAAGGCAGCACCCAGTACCGATTAGGGTACTGAAAGATGTCATCAGGTACTGCCTTGAAAAACGTAAGATAGTTGGGTTATCACGGATTTTTTTCCTTTTTTCTTTGATTTTATTTGCTTCTATATAAAAAGAAAAGATTTAATCTAATAGAAAAGTATACAAACTGTTTTTTTTATCTGAACATTTTCTGATTTAATGTCGTTGGAATGGATATATCCTGGTAACTTTAGAAAGTGTTGAAATATTTATTCATTATATCAAGTTTAGTCGCAGGGAAAGAAAGCAAAAGTTTGACTCAGTCTAATAGACTAAATCGGTGTTTTGGGTGCGGAAAGGTGTTCTGAGGCCCATATCAAAGTGTCACAATCAACACGGAAAAAAATGCATTCTGAACATGTATCATGTCAAATATGTTCGTTCGGACCTAAGGAAATTGCAGTGGATTTTGCCGAAATTTAATTACTGGGTCGAGTAGAATCCATTTCAGTCCAACTACTTCTGGGTATCGGATGTGGTCGACTGCAACAAGGGCCATCAATCGGATTCCGGGAGATAGACTCCGACGAAATCTAGTCGAATTGCATCGGATATTGTTGAATTTCGACACGTATCCGACAGCTTTCGATGACAGTTGGAATGTTCAATCCGGACAGTGTCGGAGACACTCCAAACTTAGATTTAGACCATCTTTCAACATTGTGTTTCCGAATATGATAGTTTTATAAATGCCAAATTTCTACCTCTTCCATAAAGTCTCTCAGATTATGATACAGTCGTCTTACTCGTTCTAATTGTTGCTTTTTTAGCTTATATATTTGCCATTCGATCTGGAATAGTAAGAATTCTGGCATGATATTTTTATTCAAAACTTTCCCTTTAACAATATACGTTTCATTGGTGTTCTTCTAAGCACAAAATTAACTTTAACATTTGATCTTCTCACATATTTTCTGCACACGTTCAACGATAGTAATGTTCTTAAATAAATCGATTGATATCAGTGGTAACGTGGACTATCCCTAACAACATCTGTAAAGAACTCTTTTACGTATAGGAAAGAAAGGAAAAGATCTGTTCAAATGTTGATTGATAACGTTAGTGTAACATTGAAAGCTCAATTTTTAGATATTAACTTTGATATAAAATAATACCATATGATGTTTACAACAGTTTTATACTTTTTACCCTTCTTTAGCAGCAGATGTGTCGAACTAAATATTCAACCAAACAGTTGGTTTTAATCGAAAAAAATCAATTCAACTATACAAATTATCACTTTGAATTTAACTCAAAGTTCAAATCATGCAGACGATCACTCATTTTTGTTCTTTTACGAGTTGTTTCTAGTAAGGGTACATCTTTGACATAGATACTTGCACGACGTTTAGCTGAGCCAACATTGAATATAGCATAACGAAAATAACGTCTCATTTCTTCGCGAATGGAAATCTAAAAGTAAACATATATAGGTCGTTTCTACTTTTTTTTCAAAATTTCTTCTTACTTGTCGTCCTTTTCTATTACGAATTTTCCAAGTAAATTCAATTACAGCGACGCATGCTGACATGATTAAACCGACAGCTAATATTAAAAAAATGCCTCCAACATTAGCAAAACCGAGTTCACTTGCAATTGTTGATCCACGTTTATCATCTGCATCACATTTTACATTAGCTTCTTCTTTCCACCATTTATTGTAGTATTGTTGAATTAGCCCTTCATCTTGTAATTTCAATATTGTATCTGATAATATATCCCGATACGGCGATTCTAAAAACAGTTGAATTTGAATTTGTTCTCCTTTTTCCCTCGATTTCGTTTTTTACTTAGAAGCGTAGCTAACAGCTGGATATTAGTCGTCCATTACACGTTTTCGCTCAACGATATCGTTAATAACTGCAGGCGTGTGCTCTTAGTAGGCAAAACATTTAGAGATTTGACTAGCTTAGCTATCAAATATAATGTTAATCTCAATATTAAGAATGCCATAGACAAACTTACAACGAAATCCTGAGTTTTCTTTATTTTTAATGTATTGCAGAATTTACTGGAACAAGAATTTAAAAGTTCCCGGTGAAAATATACAATAGATTCCGGTTTTCTTTGTCGGCCTTCTCACTTTCATCTCGCCGCTCCTCTTGCCGCTCTTCTCACCGCCTTTGATCTTAAATTTATTCTAATTTTTCTATACGGGATCCGTTGTGCATTTTCACCGGAAAAAGTATAAAAAGAGAACGGAGTGCGAATTATTCAATTTTTACGCTATTTAGAGAACGGTTTTGAAAGTTATGTCTTCACTGTATACGTACAGTTCTAAAGTAGAACTTTTCATACGCACGCTTCTTCAGATTTATACGTCGATACATAAACAGTAAAAGAATCATATTCTGAGACTGGGTTTTCACAAAATGTTGTTATAAGTAAACAATTAGGAACATTAACACTGAGGTGGTCTCAAGGTGTTATAAAAATATGCAACTCCAAGTCCATGGAATGTTTCTGAAACGGTTGTTCCTAAATCATCACATCATGAGTATCCAGGAGTGGATTAATTGTTTCAGTAGCAATGCATTTTCATCATTCAATCATTTTAAGATATGAATCTGCTCACATACTTTTGGTTCAATGAAACTTTTTTCTTGCAGATTCTTTTGCAAAGAATACGTTTGCAAACATACAGTTGGACTTGCAATTGCTTTTGGCTATCATGTAATTTCGAAAGATCGTATGCCTTTAGAACCAAAAAATCTAGTATTGCTCTATTTTTTTGAAATATCATCCTTGGCGACATAGCTTCACAAGATACTTCAAAAACAAATAAAAGAAACAAACAGCATATTCAACTTGGGAAGAAACGCCTCCAGTTTAGCATGATGCCCGCGGCAAGTGACCTCTTGGCGTGGGGTGGTACTTCTCAAATGTCCCATGGCAAGCGCCCAGGTGGGAACATTGAGGCATGAACCGAAGTTCTTGCTCCGAATAGTCAGTGTTGCATGTATTGTTTCAAGTGTTATGAATATAGTTGGTGTAACGTGCGTGAACTTTTTCAAGCTTATAGATCTGGTTTGTGGATAAACCTCAGTCGCATTTAAAGTGGTAACGGCGAGGTGTTAGAGAGGTGGCGGATATTGCGAGAATGAACTGAAGCTGAAGAAAGTGATGAAGATTATTACAAACTTAGCGACTATCTGCTATACATATATAAGTGCGCGTAACTAATCAGGCGTGAACTTGATTTAATCGTCATTAGATCACAAATCATATTTATTTGCACTTTTTTGTACAACATATTTTTCCATATAATGCAAAATATATCAGAACTGGAACCGGTTGAGAAAAAGTAAACCGATCTGGTCCGACCGATCTGGAAGTGTAACCGGACCGGTCCGGCCGGTAAATTATATATATATATTACGGTGGTTAGAAGTATGACTCAAACCGGTGAAAACCTGGCGAAGTTTTTTGAAAATCTATTTTCAGAAAGAATTTCTCCCATAAATGAAATAATTTGCGAGCACATGTAAGAGAACCTTCGCAATAACGAGTCTATAATATTTAACCTTAAAACAAGTGATGAAAATAAGAGCTATCTTGAGCATCGTCTTATTTATTCTGACTGAAAAAGACTTGAAATTTTAGTTCTTTGACGAAAAATAGGGTAAAAAGAGCAGATGTTTCAAAAGTTACAACTGGTGAAATACCGGTCTCTATCGGCCCGGTTGATTTTTTCAACCG